AATAAATTGTGACATTATGTGTTTACATCTGGCTGAGCCGTTATACCTTTATGTAAAGGTATACCGGCCAGTGGTGGGAGTTTACACCTACTGATATAGAATATCTGTTTTTAAACAAGTATTTTTTAAAAACATTATTTCACCCTATGCAAGGCAATAATGCCACTAAGACGCATGGGATTACTGGGAGTGAAAGAAAAGGAAAAGACTTGAGAAGGGACCGGAAACCCGATCCTTGACAGGAAACAAGAGATAAGTCTCTACCCCTGGTCAAAAAACGGGAAAGGAGTGTGAACCGGGCGATAGGCGAAATGGCGCTGAATATTTATAAAATTAGAGTGGCACTGTGGTTAAAACATAAATGAAATTGGAAAAAAAAAGCAGACTGTCTAGCGCCAGTCTTTTTATTGTGGTGTGTTTGCATGCTAAAAAATCCGCTTTCTAAAGGCTAGATTTTATGTGAGCTGTCATCAGAAGTAAATACATAACGACCTCTTGCATTACGCCCTGTCGGCTGGGGCTGTAGAATACGCTGATTGCACCTCTGCAGATGGGTAAGACCACCCCAATGGGGCGTCCTGGGTATAAAGATAAACTATATGGAACCACCTCTTAATTGCTGGTGTTCCCAGGTCCACCTCTTAATTGCTGGTGTTCCCATGTGGCAGCACCTGTTAGGGTCCCAGCTATGGGCAAATAGTTAACCCCGAAACTGAGGTAAAAAGCGTTATAAAAGTGTAAAAATAGGTTTTAATACCAGAAATATTTTGAAAAAGATTATTACCAGAAATTAATTTTTGAAAAAAGAAAATACCAGCAATTCATTTTTGAAAACAAAAAATATTACGAGCAATACATGTGATTGTACTCAAAAATATGAGTAACTGAAAAATGGTTCAAATATATATGTATACATACACACCTTTTCTTATCAAACTATCGCTATGTATCTATGTATCTATTTCAAAAATTTTGATGGCATTAAATGACCCACTGAGGTTTTGATATGCCATAAAACAAAACAAGCAAACCTCATGCATTATTCCTATTGATACTCTCGTTATTGACAATGTTTCGGCCATTCTAAAGTCAAAAATCTAAACAGAGGTTCAGTTTACACAGCTGCCAATTTTGTACTAGAAGTAAAATGGCCGGGTTTACAGTAGAAAAAAAAAACCATATGCAAAGATTTCCTTTACACCGGAACCAAAAACATGGATATTACATGTGACTTAACACTAGAGACAAAATGGACATAGGTCCGGTTTGCACTAGAGTCTAAAAGATAGAGATGGGTCCGATTTACACTAGAGACAGAAAGATAGACATAAAGATGATTTACTCTAAAGTCAAGAAAGTAGACATTGGTCAGATTTACATTCGAAGTGAAAAGACAGACACAGGCCCTGTATACACTAGAGTCCAAGAGCTAGACTGTTGTAGAGTACCTACGGACGATATTGTCCCCATTCACATAAATACAGTAGTAAATACTGGATATTGGTCTGCAGTTGGAGGTTTATCTCCAGCTGTGCTGGTCAAACTCTCAGCCTCCGGGCAGAGAGGATCCCCAGACGAGGAGGCTATGTCGAAGGAGAGAGTCTCGTCTCGGAAAACAGCTACCTGATTCTGTTTTATACGGGGCTTACGGGGAATTTTTGACCGAGCCCACGGTCTCGAATACACCACATTAAATTCGACCTTGTGCCACATCTGACCGCGTGGGGCGGTTGGTAGATATCCTGCAGTTGGAGATTCATTGTAAAATTCATTTAACTCACTTCTAGTAGTTGACTACATCTACGCGCCGCTGTCGAATCTTATATGTGTTGTTCTTGTCCTAAGTATTATCGTTCATTAACAACCTTCGTTTGATTATTCTATTCAGTAACCATCCCTAGGTTGCAACATAGACAAAGGTCCGGTTTACACTAGAGCCCAATGAATAGACATAGGTCCGGTTTACACTAAAATAGAAATAGTTAAGTCTTGAAGTATCCACTTGGATGAGGGCCACTTTGGATGGTATTACCCCCACCCCCACTACAGGGATTGGAGTCAGCGTATTCTAAGCCTCACCAGCAGGTAATCAATAAATATAAATGACTTACACAGTAGTTAGCAAGCCTGTTTCACTGATCATAACTAGGGATCATAACTAGGGATCCTCACTAGGGATCCAACACTTGACTTTGTGCATCTGACTATCCCACGCTTAGTAAATACCTACATATAAATAGATTGTTGATTGGATAGTTAGTACGAGTCGAGCTATCAGTTGACAGTCTGTTCATAAAATTGTTGTTATCTGTATAAAACCACGTCTTTTTTTTCTTTGGCACAACAAATATCTGTACATCGCAAAAAGGTTTAACTAGGTGATCCCATTCGCCCGAGGTTAGACCGCCACCCCCAACACCATCATGCCGTCAAATAATGGACAACTAGATATGGCTGTTGGCAGACCGCCATCAGATTTCAAATGATATCTTGCTTAATTCGCGGCTCCATCAACCTATATTTCTTAGACGCAAAAAGAATATCTAAGATCATCTCTGGAATTTCTTTAACCTCGGAACGGTCCCAAAACCGAAAGAGACAAAAATTCCTTTCATTTCATTTATTTATTTATTTATTTTTACTATAATTAGCTTGCAGAAACTGGCACATATTGAAATTAACTGATCTCTAAAATGGTCTAAAATCCGTTTTTATCTGGGGCAAGAAATGGCGTGTTAATTTTGTACACCTCCAAAAAAAAAAAAGCTGTTCTGTTTTAATCATGTTAGAGAATACTTTTTCACTTCCGTCAGCATGGCTTATGCTAACCTCCAGGAGAGTGACTTATTGCGCCTTTTCGAACTAATATTTCCCACTGAAAGGAATGGAAAGATTATATTGAATCAATTGTTAAGTCGGCTACTAAGAAAATGGGTTCACTGTGTCGTAGTAGACATTTTTTTCGCCAAAATCTATCTTAAGCATTTATAATTCTACCATTCTTCCATCATTAGAACATTGCCCTCACATATAGTTTGGTGATCCTGTTGTATATTTAGAAATTCTAGATAAAATACAAAGAAGAATCTGCAATATTATTGGTCATAACCAGACATCTCGGCTTCAGTCCCTTATCCATCGCCTTAACGTGGCTTCCCCTGGCCTTTTCTATAAATTTTTTCATGGTAATTGTTTTGATGGTCTTTCCCTTTTTTACCACCAGCTTTACCAATTAAAGAGCAATACTAGATTGGTGGTTAGGTCGCATCATTTTACAATTGAAACTGTTTGATGCAACCGTAAGTTCTATGCAAACTTCTCGCTTGTGGAATTTTCTTTTGAGTTCTTACTTCCCAGCCAACTTTGATCTTTAAACATTTAAATGCAATGTCAATCGTTATCTGCTGTCTCCTTGAATTCCGTTCTGATATAGTCCTTTCTCCTTAATAATGTAACGCTTAATGTCTTAGAGGCTTTATTGCCTTGCTTGGGGTGAAATAATTGACAAAAAATACAAACTTTCCGAAAGAAAGGGAGTTGTTTGCAGAGTGAAAGGTTTTACGTCCCTCAGCGCGGTTTATGGGCGCTAATTATAGCAAAAATAAATAAATAAATAAAATGAAAGGAATTTTTGTCTCTTTCAGTTTTGGGACCGTTCCGAGGTTAAAGAAATTCCAGACATATATATATATATATATATATATATATATATATATATATATATATATATATATATATATATTCTCTTTGCGTCTAAGAAATATATCACAAATTCAAGATAATCGAAGCCTTCAACTGTTCTCTCTTCGAAACAAATTCTAAGATTTTGGTGGGGTATTTTTTTTTCTAAATTTCAATAAATAAAAAGCCCTAGTTAATATTGCTTCATCATCAGCGATTAAACAATGACTTTTTCCCAGTCACAATGAACATTTCAACACGTAATGTGGTTCAAAGCTCTGAGTGTCTATTGGGACTCGATTCGCTCAAGTGGAACCCATGCATACGATACATAGCTAAAGAAGGTGGGAAAAATAGTCGTCTCACTATATTACCCGAGAAAGTCGCTGACTCGTTCCGCCATTTTTACAAGAGACAGATTAAATCCAAAATGGGACGGCTCAATACTTCTCTTTTCAGCCTTGACAGAGTTCAAAATCATTATTTTTTAGGAGAATACTTATTCAACCACTTCCCCATAAATGCAATGACACTTTTTCCATGGCAAATGTTCAGATGAGCTCCATATTTTAGTTCAGTCTTTTAAAGCAAGGGCATTTACAGTCTTGTGAGGGAAGCCATATTCTCCAGTCTACAGTTTTTTTTTCCCCATAGATGCAACATTGCAAGTCTTTTGCTGCTCAATTGCTATTTCCATGGAAAATGTTCAGATGAGGTTCATTCTTTAGTTCCACCAGTTCAGACCTTTACTGCTACGACATTTTCAGAGTTTTGTGAAGGGAAGATATATTTTTCTAAGTTTGTATTAAAATGACAACGATGAAGAAAAGGCAAGAATCAACAGAAATGTTGTTCTATAGAAAGATGCAATAAACGAAAAAGAAACTTCATAATATCAGGAAGATTCTGTTGCAGTTTCTACAGCACATAATGAGGAAAGACGACTGGGAAAATCTAATACTCACAGGACAGATTTCAGGCAAGAGAGAGAGAAAGAGAGATAATAGCAACATATAACATACTCAGTGAACTTGAATGACGCAACAAGGTCTAGGAGAAGCTTTATCAAGAGCTGCAAAGGATAGGAAGTTGTGGAGAGCCATGAAAGCTGGGATAAATTTTCTACGTATATAGATGAGAGATGAATTAACATATCATAAAATTTGAAGAAAAAAAAATGGCAGAAGCGCCCCCTAGTGATTCTCGGGCCAATTTGTACTTTCGAAAAGCAACTAGCTAAGTAGACTATCGATATTCAAGCATCCCAAAACGTAATATAGATCGAATGTCGAGTGGAAGGAACCCCGCGGCATTTCACAATGACAGCTGCGTGTAATCACCCAAAAGTCGGTCGGCTGCGCACGAGAGAGGAAGAAGCCTCCCATGAGAGAAACGTGCGTCTCAGGCAGACGATATGTGAACACAATTCCTTCGTCATTCACTCGTCAACGGGACGCGTCTTTTCTCTCCCAGGCACGTAAGAACCTTTTCTTTTAGTTTACTTTTTGCGATTGTCAATCTTTTGGAAGACGTCCTGAGCCCCGGCGTCATTATGGCGAGACCACGTTTAATCCGGGGAGGAGGGAGGAGCAAATTGCAATTTTTGATTTCTTTCTTTATCGAATTCAATTAGCATGGCTACCTACCTACCTACCTACCTACCTACCTACCTACCTAACAATAAATCTATCTCGATCTGTTCATATCTATCTATCTATCTATCTATCTATCTATCTATCTATCTCTCTCTCTCTCTCTCTCTCTCTATATATATATATATATATATATATATATATATATATATATATCCATCTATCTCTCATTCTGTCTCTATCACAACCAGTTACCTATCTATCTATCTATCTATCTATCTATCTATCTATCTATCTATCTATCTATCTATCTATGTATTTATTTATTTATCGATCTATCTATCAATCTATCTATCTATCTCAGTCTATTCATATCTATCTATCTATCTATCTATCTATCTATCTATCTATCTATCTATCTCAATTTATACATACATATCTATCTATCTATCTATCTAAATTTTTCATATCTACCTATTTATTCATATTAACCTTTTGTTATCTATCTAACTGTCTATTTACATCTTTCAATCTATCTCAGTCTATTCATATCTATCTATCTGTCTATGTACCTATCTATCTTTCTCAATTTATACATACTTATCTATATTTTTCTCAGTTTATTCATATCTATTTATCTTTTTGTCTATATTAG